TGCATTTCATTTGCTGCTCATTTTGGGGTGGAATTAGGAATAGATAATTTTATCATCATTTTACTTAGAGAATACTTAACTTTACTTAGAGAACTCATAAAGTTCTGTGACGAAAACGCCCATAGCCGTGCTCGGTACCTATTTTGTGTTTAACAAGTCACTTCATCCTTTGCCCGCAATTGTTATTATTTCTTTGAAAAGTGACATTTCACGCAAATCATTTCAGAGCTAAGCTTAATAATTAGTAAAAAAAGCAAAATATTTAGTACATTGCGTGTTTTGGGAAACGACAGACCTCGTTTATTTCAAATAGCCCATTCTCTGATTTTAAATATAGTTCTATGTCACCCTGAGACACGTCAAGCCTGATATTTCTTGCGTTTGAGTAGAGTGCAGATGCTTTAAGTACGTTCAAAAAGGGACATCAAATGATCTTTTGTTACAATTTTCGCTTCAACGAGATGTTTCCTAAGTGGAATGGCCGATATATTAGCGTTATCCGATACGTCTACTGCGCTGTACCCGTGGGCTGCTGCTTGCTGCAAATGCTCCGCTGCATCCTGTTAGACGAGGAGCGTTAGCACCGGACCGTTCAACACAGTTGAAGCTTCTCTGTGATTATTACACTTATATTTCTACTAGTTACTATGTAAAGTAAGGATAGGATTCTTTAGTTCAATTTGAATTGTCAACGTGCCGAACGCCAAACCACAATCAAATCAAACCACAGCTGCCTGCTTCGAGTAGAGTTAACATTCTAACCGAGTCTAGGCTGGAGCTGTAATGAGATGCAGGAATGCCGATTCTCAGTAGCAGTCTAGGCCACGTATGGTTTTTATGGATTATTATTAATGAGATCAGGTTTTTTACTACAATTATTTTTCCTCATTGTCATGTTCATTTGTCATTTTCGTCTTGTAATAATGTAACGTGGGTTAAGTAGTAGGTACATAGTACGTTTACCTACTTGTCAAGTTGCTTCAGATTAATTTCAAAGATGGCATGCATTAATTCGATTTCGATTTCGATTCGTTAGTTACAAACCTCGCGACTTTGACTCACTGTGTAACAATAGTTATTGGTTAGTCAAATTCGACCCGAACGATAGTGTCCGATCGATCGGAGCCCAAGGTCGCGAGTGGGAGGTCCCGAAGCCCGACAACCGTGAATAGATAATAAAAGGCCCTATAAAGGCCAAATGCTACCCGCGAAGTGACGATCACGACTCTATGCGTAACTCAATTCGCTATGTTAATGTGTCAATTAGATCTAATTGAATCGCGCACAATGCGCCTACGCATACTGCTCACTCTATCGATCAGCGGCGATACGACCTCCGGTATTTAAACCGAGTTTCGATTACTCTACTTTCGGGGTAGTTCCGTGCCGTAAATTAAAAAAAATAGTAAACATCTCTCGCAACCTTCGCGCCGCATTTAACGGCAAAAGTACACGATTTCCACATATTTTCCACCGACCTCTCGCCGAGGCCCACCCGATATGGTCAGGTCGCCGGGACCAGTCCGCTGCCCTTTTGCGAACGCTTTGAATTCTACGCGCAAGGTGAGGAAACGGGTCGACGGTAGGAAGTATCTTTTCCTGATCGCCGATCGCTCCGCGCGATACGAAAGGGACGGAGGGCAAGAGTGGCTTACACCTCTTATTCCATGTCATAGACCTAGATTTAGATAAACACTAACGGTTTAAAACGCGAAATATATTAGTTACACTTGTTAAAAAAAAATTGTGACTCCAACTCGACGTTTCGGATGACCACGGTTGCTGCAAAGCATCCGAAACATCGTAGGTAAAAATAATTTGTAAACAAGTTTAACTAATATATTTTGCGTTTTAAACCGTTAAAGTGTTTTATTTAAATAACAATAATAATAAAGAGAACACATTTAATTAAATTACTGTAATGTACTGTAGTAATATAACCCTTATTGGGTTTGGAAATTATTCGGAATTCTTAAAAGCTTGTAGGAACCAAATGTGTAAGCTTTAATTACTCCATACCATACTTTCATAAGATCTTATTTTCCATACCATAATCAATACTAATATATAAAGCTGAAGAGTTTGTTTGAACGCGCTAATCACGGGAACTACGGGTTCGAATTAAATAAATATATTTTTCTGTTGGTTAGAACATTCATCGAAAAAGGCTATAGGCTATAAAACATCACGCTGTGACTAATAGAAGCGGGAATACAGCGGGAAATGTGAACAAAACGGGGGGAAATTGTTCATCTCTGTGGCTTTCAGATGCGCGGACGAAGTCGCCGGCACAGCTAGTATATAATATAATAGAAATATCAATTGACATCCCAACTGAGAAATACCTACTGATAAGGTAAGCATTGGTACCCATCTTAAATGAGGACGTTCGTGGCAGTGCTTACCCAAAGAACTCAGTGTGGGTCGTCACATCCGGCCAATAGGAACGCATCGCGCGTCTCACTTACAAGTGCGAACTTCCGGTTGAGTGTAGGGTTCTCTATAATATGCAGTTAATTATTTCAATCTCTTGATCATATGAAAAATATGGAACTGCTTAGAAGATTCTAAAATAATATCAAAAATACATTTGAAATCGTGGAAAATCCAATAAAGCAAGTATTCGGTTTAATATCCAGAGATCAGTTGCGACTCGGCTAGATTTTTCTAATAAACTACGACAAAATAGGCGGCGCTAGCATAGCAAAATTAACATTTGACGGTAGGGACATCCTTCATCTTCTGTCCTCCCGGTGACCGGTGACCCCTGCTGCTCCAAAGCATGCTAATCGTTGGGTCGTAATTATAACAATAAAAAAATACCTTTTTTCGCCTTTTGAAGCACTAAAAGAGTTTTATTTAAATGTGTACTACTCCCGTAAACTACGGACAATACTTAAGTTTTCGGTTATGAATAACATGGCAGGAATAAAAATTAATGGACACTCATTAAATCGACTAAGAGGTCTTTTTCCATTGAAGAAAACGAAAATTAGGGTCTAGCGATAACCCTAGCTCTGGCCAGTACTTGTTTGGAACAATGCATCTCTGTCCAAGTACGGGACCGTTAGACACCCGGCCCAATTGACGATCACCGTGATTCATTCAATTCTTCTATACTGGCACTTTCGAACTATATACCTAATAGTCGTGTAATGTTACTTCTCACTTCAACAATTATTAAAATACAATATATGGAGGTATCAGTACCACGAAAGGGCCTAGCTATACGAAGCTCTGTTCTGCAAAAGTCTATAAAACAATAAAATAAAATATACTTCATTCTCTACAAAATTATAAAATTCATTTAGATTCGTAAAAAAATATATATGTTTGTCCGATCGTCGTGATTCTACAGAGCGTTCAAAACCAACATAATCGAGAAGAACACCCAATAAACTCAGTCTGGCTTTTTTTAAGTCGTAATAGAACGTCTTGGTTCTTATTCGTATCCATAGCGTTACATAGTAAAATATATTAGTTAATAGAAATCTGACGATTAATTTTTTGGAACCCCATTTTGAACTCCTTTCGTATTGTTCTTAAATAACATACTATTCGAAAGCCCGTCTTAAAAATCAATAAGGTCTTTATCGAATCCGTCAGATGGGAAAACTAGTGGTAAAATGACTGTGCTAACAAGAACGAGTTACAACTATCTCGTTACCAAAGCATAATAAAAGATTAAGTACGATTAATACGAATGCAAGTGATCGATCCGGTTGCCGTTGCATAACTGACCAGTCTTCAAGGTCTCTGCCAGTGTGGGCCACTTTTTATGAGCCGAACGTGATTGTCGACTTTGTCGGCGCCTTGCGGTTTGTTTATCGATAGTAAAAAGCTTGTTTGAAGACACTCCCAGCTATATATATCTTTTAAGAAGTTAATTTGCAAACCCTCCCGCGGCGGTTCCTATGCGAAGATTTCTCGCTTTTCTTCCTCAAAGCTTCCGGAATGGCACTGGACCAGAGAACACCTTCATTTTAAAAATAACTTCAGGCCTATACAGAAAGGTGCTGTATCGTGTGTAATGCAACGAAACTGCTCAAAGACAAATATATTACAAATAAAAGGAATCGCTGTTTAAATTCAACGCGATATGAAGTATCACATTATAACAACAAAGTTTATGCGTGGGAGCAAACGCAAGGATACGTCTATGGCGGTCTTAGCTTCAATTATCTTTCGCTCTGTCGATCCGTTTACGGATAAATAATAGCGGTATTTACTTTGATAATTGTGTTTAAACTATATACGCGTAATGCCCTCTCGTTGCTCAAGTCTCCTACTTATTACTTAATCTTAAATAATATAGCAATGGTAAATGATATTTTCGTAACAAAGGTGGAAAAGTTGCGGGATTTTAATCATTTAGAAGTATAATCCGTTTCAGATTCTTAAATCGCTTAGAAACCACCTAACTAATTGCATCGTGTACTTGAAATCAGAACCTTATGTTTTTAATCCTATAGCGTAATAACAGCGTTCAAGTTACAGCATTCAGAAGGTGGTCCAGTCGATCTGACGAATATTTCTGAGAAGGCTGAGCGAGCGCAGCATTCGTTCCGCTTATCGGTTGACAATTGATACTCACTTAGCGTCAACTAAAGATATCATAAGCACAGGATTCACAGAAGTCTGCACCATTATGCTGCTGAGTCACGTAAGATCGACGGACTTTGAGCTTTTGGCGCTACTGTACCGGTGCGTTTAACGCTAAACTAAAAGATGCATCTTATGTTCTGTCCGCTTTTGAATTTGAAGGTCGCGTGACTCGCTTAATGTTCTGACAAGGAACACGCTCAAGACACTTTGTAGCTGTAACAGTTCAATGTCATGAACAATACAATGGTGATGTAATGAGATTTGTATCATAAACCGCACAGAAAAATCGGATGAGGTTTCAATGAGACAGTACATTGCCATCGCCTGCGAGTAGTCGTTAGAAGTAGTCATAAATAGTTTTTCATCGAATAAAATGTTTGGTTTACAGACACACAATGGAGAGCCGCGTAGGGCTCGACTACATCGTCGAACATGCGGAGTACGCCAGCAAACTTGCTGCAGCCCTCACTTCCCCGACTGCTGCAGTTAAGAAGCAGGTAACTTCTATTATAAGTATGCTGTATTAAATTCCATTTGTAGTAGGTAAATAAGATAGCACAGGCTATTGACGTAAGACATACTTCCATAGAGGTGAAGAATAGAAAATGTTTTTTTTTTAACAATGATAATCTTTATATTCAACGTATATCTTGCCATGTGGATCGTTACTAATACAACTGCTCGTTTCTAGGTAGTAAATAAATACAATATTTTTGATTCGTAATAAACTGTGTTGATGCTTATTACTTTATGCTTCTATGCAATGCAGGTATTCGAACTTCTATCAGCACTCTGCGTGTACAATGCGGACGGATACGCCAGGGCAGTCGACACGTTGGATCGATATAAGGTATGTTCACTTCTCTACGTTTGCCGTCAACCGTAGTTATGATGGCTGCGTTTCCAATACTGTCGTTAAAATTTAAATCGGAATAATGTATCACTTAATTACATCGTTATTACTTAAAATATCTTGCTATTGTGTGAAACTGGCACTTAGAAGTCTCGCACTGGTGGGTCTAAATGTAATTATACCGATAATTTCAATTGTGAATGCTATTTGAACTCTTCGTAAAAAAACAATCGTATTCCAGGTTTTAAAGGGAGACAGGTATCGTCTGAGCGTGGTGGTGGAAGAGTTGAAGAATGCCACCACAATCGACTACAAGACAGCCCTCGTGGCATTTATCAACTGCCTCATCATTTCGGCTCCCAGGCTGCCCGACAGGATACGGGTCAGAAACGAATTTATCGGTGAGCGAGTCTGTTCGGCAGCGAACGACGATTGTGCCCTTAGTCGTCTTTAATAAGCTCTCTGTTTGCTATCTCATCGATAAATAGCTGATAATTTCTTCTTAACCTTTTAAATTTCACCAAAATTTATTTACTGTTTCAGGACTGGGTCTCATATCGACACTAAGCAATTTAAGGCAAGTAAGAAGTTTCCAATAATCCTAATAATATTGATAGAGAACGGCGCACGTTCGCACGCCCGCCTACGAAATCATTAAAACCCGGCTGTCGCCACTAGTGTACCATTGGAAGTAGTATACGAACGAAGTGGTCGAACGAGTTGTCAACACTGGCAACATTTTAATTAAAACAACAAACCGCTTAAAAAGCCAATTTGTCACTCGAACCGGCTGCGGTTTTGTAATCGATACTGAGGGTAATTGCTTTTTACACGACGATTCGTTCTATATATTTAAATATAGTTTTTATAAAATCTGTTATTTGTCGGGAGGGGCGGAGTGATTTATCTATCGCAATTCGCCCGCGGATAGTTTCGAATAGTAAATTTGACGTTGAAACGGTTTTAAACGTAATTATCTCTTAGGTCAAAGTTTTGAAATACCAAGCCACAATATAAAGAAAACGTTTCTAACTTAAAAAGAACAAAGAACAGAATTATTCATAGCGTGTCAGTACGGAGAGTTAGAAAACGACTAAAAAGGCAATGCGTAGGCGCCCGTCTCCCGAGAATGGCTCCGATTATGATTAATACGTAAACAACGTCCGTCTCAATACCCACAGACCAGGCCTGGACTGAACATTGGTCTGGTCACCGTTCCCTAAGTACTTTTTACGTATTCTTCCGCTTTATTTACTACTTCCAAATATTGTTATAATTTCACTTTGTTCTTTAAAGAAATTGCCATAGTCCTTTGCAAAAACACACCAAAATACTTAGATTAGCCGATTACTGAAGTTTCTATTATAACTTTCAGACACGAAGCAGCCAGTCATCCCGAGTTGGGCGTGCAACTGGACGTGTTCGAAGAGCAGAGGGAGAGTGATGAGGCCCAGGGGCCGGGGGGTATCAATCTCAATTCGCATCTTGATGTTTTCTACGCTATACTTAAACAAGTAAGGCTTGAGGGGCTCCTAGTAGCCATTATAATATTTGGATAGGCAGGAAGAGAAGCAAAGTAGAGTGCTGGTAGAACAGTCGAAAGTTCTCTTAAGACTGGTTTCCTGTCGCTCCTCCACTAACAATGGCCCCGGCACCCCCAGGGTGATATCTATTCAGGGTCTATGTTATCTACTATATATTATCTTCGACAAAATGCCCCCAACCAATAAAATCGGGCCCTATAATTAGTAATTACTTTAAACGATCTGTTGATCTAATAACATAAATATTAAATTTATGTAAAAATAAAGATAAATTCGTTAATTGTCTTTTTCTTTTTATGATCCTAATCCTTTTATGTGATTTATTTACAGGTTTCTGATACACCACAAGAAATCCCGTTCCTCAGTATTCTGCAGCATCTTTTAAGGATTGACCCCAAGGAACCAGTAAGCGATATTGTCTGGGACACTGCAGAGACCCTTGTGCATAGAGCTACTCTTCTTGAGAGTAGAGAAGACGCAGCAAAGTTATTAAGGGCTCCTAGCGTTCAGGTAATTTAGTAATCTTAATATTTCAAATGTATTACTTACAACTTATCTAATCCCGATTATTTTCTGTATGTCTGTTTTCCCCTTGAATGGGGGGTGATATTCTTTACAATTGATTTGTTAATTTAAAAACAGTGAAATAATCACACATCGTTTACAGGCTAAAATGGGTTGCACCTGCCAGCACAGAGATGCTAATTCAGCAAGGAAGCAGAGCTTACAACGAGCTCTATCTCCACCCCCACCACCACCACCAGCTCCAATTCCTCCCCCAGGTGAGTGTTCTGTTTATAGTTCACGATCATTTGATTCACAAAATGAAAGAAAGTTGATTTAAGGTAGACATTTAAATACTAGAAGTACCTTGGTTTCCATATATGCACTAGTGCTTGGTCGAAGACTGTAGAAAAGCTGATTGTATTGTTTCAGCGGCACCTCTGCCTCCCGCACCACCAGCCCCACCACCTCTTCGTGGTCCCCCTCCCCCTCCTCCGCTGAATTCTTCCGCACCTCCACCCCCCGGTCCGCCTGCACCTCCGCCGGTTAATATAAAGTTGCCGCAACAAGAGATTCCGCTGCCCAAAACAAAGATGAAAACGATAAATTGGAATAAGATACCTAACAATAAAGTAAGTATACCGGTCGTATAGAACATCGTAATTTATATCCCATAGGTAGAAGTCACTTTTATTTAATTCCCAACATATTAAATTCGTAGGTGATCGGGCAGAACAATATCTGGTCGCTAGTCGCGTCGAGTCACAAACACTCTCCGAAGTCGGAGTTAGACTGGAGTGAAATTGAGGGTCTCTTCTGCCAACAAGTAAGTTTGTTTGTTCGTGTGTCGTTTTTAATCGCTCACCTCTTCGTGTCCTTGTTGCATATGTTCGTTAGAGTTCGCTGTGTGGCAAGTTATGTTTATATCAAAATGCTAGTTGACAATTTGTATGTGTAAAATTGTTCGTTACTCGATTAGTGAACGGTGAAATTCTCTTTATAGGTCCAACCCCCTGGATCGGCAGGGTCGTCACCTCGACTGGGTCGCAGTCCTATCTGTGACAGCTCCGGCGAAAGAAAACAGCGAAAAGAACCTTCAGAAATCACTCTTCTTGACGGAAAAAGAAGTCTCAACGTAAATATCTTCTTGAAGCAATTCCGAAGGTATTTAAATTTTAATAAAGTATAAACAAGTCGAACCGTTAGGTCGACGCCATTCGTTCTTGACGTTTTGCCATTACGAGTGGACGATATCATCAGAAAGTGAAGATAAATTAAAAAAAAAATACTGCTCAAAGGTTGAGAATAAATAGGGTAGTGATTTTGAAGAATATGTAGTGATGGATTTTCTTCTTTGCGTTAAGTGCGAACATATTATAAACAAATATAATATGTTCGCACTTAGTTGGTAATTGAGTGTTCTTATATTCTTGACGTGGTTTATGTGTCCTTGTCTGTCCTCACTACATCTTCTTGCTACGCTTTATCTGACTATGAACGTATCTGTTATAGTTCCAACGAAGACATCATTCAACTGATAAGAGAAGGAGCCCACGACGACATCGGCACTGAGAAACTTCGCGGTCTTCTCAAGATCCTCCCCGAAATCGACGAATGCGAAATGTTGAAAGCTTATACTGGTGACGTCACGAAACTGGGCAATGCCGAGAAGTTTCTTTTGCAGCTCATACAATTGCCGAGGTAGATGGTTCGGCATATCTTAAGCGAAGAAGCAATGAATAAATTTAACAGCAGACATAAACGATGCAATTAGCAAAGAATCGTTAAAAAGTCTTTTTAAATTTAAATAAATTACTTTTAATACTTTAAATCGCGAAATATATTTGTTAACTTAATTTCCGATTTAAAGCCTTGAAACTATTATATTTCAATGGGTACTACTCGCGTAAACTACGAGCAATGCATAGTTTATCAAGAGGTTCTTTAAAAATTATTGTAAAGTTAATTCTCATTTTCAGCTACAAGCTACGCATAGAATGCATGCTGCTGAAGGAAGAGTGGGCTTCCACGGCCGGGTACTTAGAGAGCGCCATCAACGCCATTCTTGTGGCCGGAGATGATCTCATGTCATCTAGGGCTATTCAGGTAAGAAAGTGTGCTTGCACGTAAATAAATCATTTATTTTTTCGAGTAAAAAGGAAATGAGACTTAATTCGTCTCCGATACCGTTACAGGAGGTGCTGTACATAGCGCTCATAGCCGGGAACTTCTTGAACGCGGGTGGCTACGCCGGTGGCGCGGCCGGCGTAAAGCTGTCGTCGCTACAAAAGCTGTCCGACATTCGCGCTAACAAACCCGGAATGAATCTCATGCACTACGTCGCTATGGTAACTAACTTCTTCAATTGACGCGACTCATTAGTCTACTATTCTATTATTATCAAAATTTAGTAGCATAAACGATTCCACTATTATTAACACGCTCTATGGCGAGAGAAGACAATTTATCTAGACCTAGTCCGTCAGTGACGATTAATATACACATTTTCAGATCAAGTCGCGTCAGTGCTGTCTGAATATATCTCATACTCATAGACCCACTAAGTGGCCCTGTAGGTAATCACGTCACATTGGTTTTGAAAAGAACGAAGAAAAACCAATTACCATCCAAAGAAATTTATTACGAAAAAACAAAAAATCTAAACTCAAATCAAATATCACATAGAAATTATTTTTCTGGGCAAGCATTACAAAAGTAGGTACTTTTTGTGTTTTGTTTCTGGCTATTACATGCCAGATAATTTTCTTATAAAATTCTATACAAGACCGACACACATTCAAAGGGTAAAAAAACGTGCTTTCTAATAATCAATTTGTGTAAAAGGCATATACCAAAAAAAGTTAGTAATTTTTTAGTAGATTTATGATTTTTAATAGGGAACCTAAAGGGAAACGAAAACTGCTCAAAGTATCTTATTACACATTATAACTGTGATTCTAGCAAGCTGAACGCAAGAACAAGGAGTTGGTGCACTTCGCAGACGACATTAGGGTGCTGGAGGAGGCGGCCAAAGCGAGCGTGGAACAGCTACACAACGAAATCAACACGTTGGCGAGTCGAATCAGCGCGCTGAAACGAGACGTCACCTCGACCGCACAGCAGGACATCAAAGAGCAAATGGGCGATTTCCTTCAGGTATTGACTTTGCATGGGCTATGTTTTTATGAAGCAACTAGCTGTGTCAGCGACTTCGTCCGTGTAGAATAGTTACTTTGAGCATTGTTTTTGCCAATCCCCTCATCTTAGTAAATTATAGCTGTTATAAACAACTTCGTCCGTGCCCCATCGTTATTAATTTTAAAAGACATATACTATCACGGATATTTTTTAGATAAAAACAAGAAATCTTTGACGAAAAATATTTAATAGTATGCTGCGTGCCAATTTCAGGTTGCAGAAAGAGAAATATCAGCTTTAAATAAAGACATGGAGGAGGTAGAGAGTATTAGAAAGCAATTGGCCGAATTCTTCTGTGAAGATCCCGTGTCTTTCAAGTTGGAAGAGTGTTTCAAGGTAGAATCCCAATTTCAATGAAGCGATCTTTTTTATTAGTTTTACACATAATATCAAAACTTGTTACAACAATATTAGTACTTCTGCGACTGGCAAGAGGGACATTGCTTGCGGCCAAGGCATGTGCAGTACTTCGTTCAAATAAAACTCGAAAATTAAAACTAAGTAGTAAAATTCAGTACTTTAAACCAATAGCACGCTAATGTACTTTTATTTCCACTAAACAAACTTCAAAAGTGCCAGCCAGTTCAAAATTTTAATGGCACTTTGACGTTTCAGTTTAAAATTTATTGGGCCGACACGACAGATATGGATTTTCATACAACCATTGCCGGCCGCTGCTCGACCAGTACAACAAGTTCGATTTTTCTCAAAGAAGTTTAAATAAAACACTGCACTGCACTGCAGCCGTGGTCACGGGGAGACTGCCCGTGACCACGGCTGCTGCAAAGCATCCGAAACGTCGGGCCGAAGTTAAAAATCATTTTCAAATAAGTTTAACTAATATATCGCGTTTTAAACCGTTAAAGTGTTTTATTTAAATGTGTACTACTCGCGTAAACTATATACAGTATTTAAAGAAGTTTGTCAAAATAATGCTCGAATTTCCAAGCGAGTTTGAGAAAATGTTATTTACAAGTGTCGGCGCCTTTTATTACGAGTTGTCAAATCCGGGTATACCGTAGGACGGTCACGGTTTGCTCAAATCGACTAATCATTGCTATGACTTTCAGACATTCGCTTCGTTCTGCGGCAAATTTCGATCGGCAGTGCAGGAGAACGAGCGCCGTCGCGCCAACGAAGAACAAGCTGCCCAACGACGGAAGGCCAGAGATGCTGCAGCTGCTGCTAGAATTAAGACTGGTAATATTATGTTATGTGTAGCTTTACGTTTTGTATAGCGATGTGTGCTAACTGGTATTTTATAGTAAGGAGGCATAACAAGGGCCCGGATACTGTTAACTGTACACTAGAAATATTTTAAATATACACTTACAAGAAATACCTCTGTCGATTTAGAACGCGAAATATGATATATCTATAATGAAATCTGTTTCCTTTGTTTCTTTCTAATACTTTAGAAGCTGGCTGTGTCATTGGAAAACTAATTTATGGTCCTTGTGACGGTGTTTATCGTTTTGGCGATAAACAAAAAGTAGGCTGCTTTCTCCATATTAATTCCCTCGCGTGACATAATTTGCTACAAAGCATCTGAAACGTCGGGTGATAAGTCGTAGATAAAATGTAATTAGCTAATATATGCGCGTTTTAAAATTTCAATATTCTTTCTTTTTTATTTGCGTAAGCTACAGGCATAGAAATTTTTAATTTAATTCTAAGAAAGCTTTCCCAATCGGTTTCAGGCGGTAGTATGTGTAGTACCCCGGTATCGGAGTGTGAATCTCTTATGGAGTCTTTGCTGCTAGACATCAGGAATGGTCTCGGACGCAGGTCCCTTAGAAAACAGTCCAGAGATCCATCGCCGTCGCCAGGTATAATCAAATTATTATTTGTAAATGTTGTGAATAACGTTTGTGTTAAATAAAAAGTTGTATCCGTAAGACAGAGATCTCCAGTCCACTATCTCATTTCAGATGTCACGCCGACGGGTAGTCTGCGCCGGCGCAGCCGCGCAAGTCCGGGAGAAGACGAGGAGGGTTTGCTCGAATTCTTACGACATGCATCGCCGGCTGCCACCGACCTTCGAGAGAGGAGCGCGTGGGGTAGTCTAGGTAAAGCATTGTCTATTCCTAACGCTTATACCTCTTTACTCCAATAAATATATTGAACAAACTAGGCTTAGTTTCCCTGCTACAGGGCCAGTTAAACGGTATTAGTTTCTTTTTACAAAGTTGGAAGACACTGTATCGAAATTCACAGATCGTTCCTGGTCCCGCCGTGGACCGATTCGCGCGAAGCTGGAAATCCCTGACCGGGAAAGGGAGAGGGAGCGTCCTGCTTCGCCGAGAGCCCCGTCGTCACCCGCCCCTCCGGAACCTACTACAACTAAACCTAGGTAACGAATAGTTATACTGTTCCTAAGAACATACACACATAGTTATTTGACTGAGGAAGTTTTGAACTACAATTGCATGCAATTTTTCATATTATAATTTCCATAATATACCAAAAAAGAGTAAAGGGTAAAGGCCGATTGTCATATAAGAATAACAAGTAGTGTACCATCAATACGTGACAGGGAATGGCGTCAGAAAATTGAGTCTTGGTTGCGCGCGAACAGTCAGGAAGAGAAGCGCGACGCAGAACTGCGCGAGCGCACGCGCCGCCTTCACAACAGGCGGTCCTTGGAAAACGAGTCCGGTTAGTAAAGGATAGTAGTTGTGCATAGACTTAGGTCGCATAAATGCTCTTTCTATTCTTTTAATTTAACTTTGCAGAGAGCGATCGCAGTACTGCGTTGGATACACTACCTGAAAGTCGCGGAGATTGGCGACCCGCGGTGCTCCGAGACACCGACGTCGTGCGGGCTATAGAGGCTGTCGAAGGTGAGGCACCCGAAGAGTTATTCGACTTTAGCTCTATTACGCATATTTTAGCGGAGCCGTCTAGTTTCAGTCAGGATACTTGAACGAAATCACTATTTTTCCTACTCACTGCCTACTTTCAAGGGTATATGAGAACGTCCCACTTTTCAATTTTAAAGTTGAATTTAAAAAGAAGCCAAAAACTTATGTGGTCGGGCCCTACTGCTTATATATGAAATATTAATTTTTGCAGATGTGCAACCACCGGCTAAAGACAACCGACTGCCGTGGAGAAAGACGGAAGAAAACGAAGAGATGCGACGGCTCAGGAGACAACGATCCAGGCCGCAAATTGAATCACAATCCCTCGTAGCGATCAGTGAAGAGGATAAGCGAAAGTTACCAGACATTACCGTCACTGACACTAAAATCGACAAAAACGACCGAGTCGCCATAGACTCGGACAATATCGAAACGCCGCCCGCGCAGAGGAAGCTATTCAACCCACCGCCGGATAGAGAGCCTTGTAGACGACTACAGTCGTCCCTTAACACGTCTTTGAGCGAAAAACCGTCGACGGAAATGAAGGACTTATGCCAAGAAATACTGGGTGATGGACAGTTCGACAGGTTCTCGGCAGCGAGAAGAACGAGACGATACAAGAGAAACGCAGAAGCCAGTCCACCCGAAGAGGAAAAGAAGGAAATTACTGAACTCTTCGCTGAGACACAAATATTACGACCTTCGAAACTGGAAGTTCAAGCGTCGTATTCCGTCGAAACTCCAGTTGATACGGCGAAACCTGTCGAGATCGTCAAAGACGAGAAAGAAAACAGACTAAAAAGGTGGCAGGATCGGCTGAAAAACCAAAGCACAGAGAAAACTCCGACCAAAGATAAAGTTCCGCATTCTAGAATGAGACGACAGACTTCAATCAATCAGGAAGATGTACAAAAAGCGATACGAGAACTCAAATCTCCGACCGAAACGCCGACGGGTGTGTGGTCTAGAAATGCGTTCAGGCGGTCCGTGAGCGGCAAGGTCGACGCTAAAAAGGAAGTAGAGAGAACGTCGTCACCTAGAATACCAAAAATGAAGAGCGAACACGAGTTGAACGACGAGGGTTTTGAAGAAACACAAAGTCTCAATTCCGAAAGCGCGTCTCAAGGAGCGTCATCCGGCTGCAACGTCGAGTGCGATTCGCCGGTCCCGAAGAAGTCACCGGACATCCCAAAGAAAATAACAACCAAAGATGTTAAAATTCCGCCAAGAATTCCGCTCAATCGAACCTTCTCGAACAGAGCTAGTTCTCTGCGAGTCGAACGTTCTACTTCTAGAGCATCTTTGAGAAGTTCTAGAAGTTCTTTAAACAGCTCAGCGTCAGTCGCGACGGTTAAGAGGGCGCCCGTACCGCCCAAGCCGGTTCCGAAACCCGTCCCAAAGCCGATTTCAAGGATGCCCGCTTCGAGATCGTCGTCGAGCGGCAGTTCCATAGCGTCGAAGCCTCCGGTCAAAGCCCAAAACAGGACATCGAATTTTATGCGACCGACCCAAGCGTCTAAGGGCAGAGGCTCTCTTCAGCCGACCGTTAAAAACGTCAAATAGGCTGCGAATCGATTTCAAAGAAATACAACGATTTTTGTATTTCTTTCAGAATATAAGTCATTGTAAGTTGGAGTTCGAAATCCGGCCATACAAGGCTTTATTAGTATTTAATAGTATTAATTATTATTGTAAATGCTAACCATAATTATTGGAAGCTTCAGATGCGTTCATCGGGTGCTTGAATCTCAACGAGAAATCTGAAGGTTTCAATGACTGAAATCCTAGTTTTAAGTTCGACTAAGATCTGTTAAACTCACAATGGATCGTCATCGCACGTCAACTTTACGTCTTCTCTACGACAAATGAAAGATGAACTACCATTTCTTTTAACTACAATTTATACAATATTAATATTGTGCCACGATTAATCTACGGGTATCTTAAACATAGACCAGTTGACTCACCTTTACCGCGCTAGCGAAATGTATGCATTGTGCACCACACCGAAATGTAATTTTGGTGTAATTCTTACGTGCAAGTATTAATGAAAGTGCCTTTCTTGTTGTAAGTTTACCTTTTTAACGTTACGGAGATACGCACATTGTTCCGATCTGATTTGTTAAACTGTCTTTTGTATGTCACAAATGAAATTCGCTCGTCAGCCGCAGCTTAAATAAATAATTTTAAATATATGACGCAGACTGATGGACAACAAAGTTTCATGAAAATATATTTAAGATTAACACTTTGTTTTACTTATGTGTCTAATGAATATACTATTGTACACTTATATACCTCGACATATTGTGGTTTTACTTTAGAAATAATTATACAGTACTAGTGTTGTAATAAATAAAATAAGAAGCTAAATACAGAATTAGTCCTATTATAAAATACTAGTCGCAATAAGCTTAAACGCACGAATCGCCCTGACTAAGAATTATACTTTTATAGCAGCCCTTGGTCCACTAGTTCTACGACTAAATCTGTCATTTTTTTTCTGCAGACGGCGTTCGAAGTCCACACGGGCTTTGCGCTTTCTTCGGATGAATTCGCTTCAGTTTCCTGAAAACAATTGTAATATTTTGGATTACTATGGGAAACTATAGGATAGTTTCTCATAGTAATCCAAAATATATTTAAATGAAATAAAGGAAAAATGTTGTAATGTCATAATTAAATGATTTTCTTAAAGCACAAGATATTTATCGAAATAACATTGAGCCAGCGCATTTATTAATTTAATTTTGGTATAACACTTCAGCGTTTGTAGTGGGTGCACAAAATGAAAACCTTTTCCTGATATACATTGGGCGCTTCGTCACTATCGCACGTCATAATGGGATACATGTCTAGGGCAGTCCCGAGGCCGAAACGACTGCTGTTCCGGAATTCGTCTTGTATCCTGGGAAAGAACAAACCGATTAGTTTAAGTATTGCTGTACGTATTGCGACGTGTTGCATTTTCGTATTTAATCGAACAGAAGAATGTGCAAAATGTGGCAACTATAATTTTTACTTGTTTCTTAAATAGTAGCTACTACTCACATAGACGCTAGTGTGTCCCTATCGAAAATAGCCGAACCCCCCATGGCCACAACTCTTTCGTAAAGTTCATCCGTATAGTAATCCAGAAGGGATGCCACGTGGTCCGCTCTCTGGTGGCGATCGAGGCATAGATAGATGAGGTAGCACAGATCGAGGGCCGGAGAGGCATAGCGAGCCAGCTGAAAGTCCACTATATACATCTGCGGAAGAAAAAATATCCTTACGGTCCTTAATATCACGCAAAATAAGACTGCTGCAATATTGACACGATGCCGAACACACATATGACAAATCAGGACTTAAAATTTTTGGAGTTCATGATCGTTGTGCGTACTTACTTCTGCAATTTCTCCATCTTTGTAGCGAAACTGAAGGTTGTTAGTCCAACAATCACCGTGACAGATAACTGCAAAGGGTTCTCTCGGGGAAACCATATCTACCATGGACCGGAAGAAGGTGTCCTCGCTACAGAAGCTCTTAAATTTATCAAGATATTTATCTTTGCCTGATGAATCTTTTAACTCTTCTGCGACCATTGAAATGGCATTTTGAGTAGCTTGAATGTAATAACTTCTATAATATTCTTCATTCTTCGACACAAAAAACACTGAAACGAATTACACAAGCTAAAACATCTTTGTCCTGTATTTGCTACAATTAAAACTGGACGTTTAACTTTTTGCACGAAAGCCTCGAATCAGATGAAACTCTAGTGGGAACTGTAGAAATAAGGCAAGATTTGAAACCTGGAGGAAATTTTAAGGTGATACGACATCAATTTTTTTCATACCTTCAGATATGCCATCTTGTATATTGAGCAGCTCGTAGAACTCTTCCGGACTATGACACTTCATCGCCAACGACAGAGCGTGAAATTGGGCCAAGTTTTTTAATACCGAATAGCACTGTTCCACTGACAGGCCCTGTTGCCTGTCGGGCATGACGAATCCCAGCTCCTTCAAATCCTTTAAAACGACCAAATCGTTCTGCGCCAAATAGCATTTAGGGATCCCTTTAAACGGATTCGCTAAATTCCAGTGATCTTGAAAGGACGATAGCTTCGGCCAGATCTTCGTATAAAATGCTACCTCGTTGCAGAACAACTCGTCGCTTTTGAAGGTATTTCTTCGCAGAGTGCTTTCGGGGAGGCATTTGTAAATTATGGAGCCGGTCCACGGGTCCGTTCTTTCCGAATCCTTCTTGAAGCCCTTCAAAGTAATACGGTAGACCATAGAAGTGTAATTGTCACCTCGTTTGGAACCCGGAGCGCCCTGTATAATGCACGCTTGTAGTAGACTCATATAATTAATAAATGCTGAAAATGTTAAATTACCTCAAAGTCCTGTACAGTGACGTCGGGGTAGTCGATTTTCAGCAAGTCTTGGAGGAATTCTAACGTTACAGAGGACATCTTTCTGTCCGTACGCGGTTATTATCAGCAACTATCTAAAGCCGGGGGACGCATTACAGAGGATAGTTGTTGATATATTATTTTTATTGAATCATTGCCTTGGGTCCTATTTAATCGATAGGGTGGCGATAAGTTTTGGTCTTCTCAAACAGAAATATATGGTATGCTTATATACATATCCTCTAATCTAGTTATTTGTGAAGCGATACTTTTCTCCTCTAAAATGTGTATGATTGACCTATTTAAGAAGAAAAAGCCTTATTCTTATTTGTGTTTTTTTATGTCCTGCAAAAATCCTAGACATAACTTGACTTAATTTTATTTCATATTTTTGTTGAGAGCCGAATCGACAGCACTATTTCTTGTAACGCTATATTAGGCCAGAGTATGGTCACCGTGTTTGAGAGGGGCGCACTATTAAATTATTGCAGCGAAACGCATTGTGGGGTCGATATATTGAATAATGAGCTCGTTTTGACGTAAACACACCTAGTTGCATGGCTGGATGTGACACTTAAAACCACACCATTCGCTGAAGGAAAAACATAGCCACGTCGTATGTTTTATTGATAGGCTATAGTTGATATGACGCTTCAAATCTATTCAAACGATCATTTAAAATATCGTATCATGTAAAATCTACATCATGTTCAAAGAATGTATGTAAAATAAGTGCCTTGTGCGCGTGAGTCATGCTAAATAGCAAATTTGTGTTGACGTAGACGCTCTCCTTTTCAAAATTATGTATGATTTTATAGTATCTGATAAAGTAATAACTAAACATGTGTCGTGTTCTACTGCAAAAATTAGAATCAATTACGACTGACTAATCTGTTCAATCCGAATCTGTCTTTGTTCTGTTGCAAAATTTGAGAGACATATTTATTTATATAAAAAATAGTAAAAACAATAATTGGAGGATAAAGTCGGTCAGATTGTTTAAATATTATATATTTATATGGTATGAATATTACTAGGCCCTATTTAAAACCAACTTAAATCAACCCAAAAAAGTTTATGCGACTGATAAAGAGCTGAAAAAGATTTTAGAGAAAAAAGGAATAAAGGCAATGGTTTTTAAAGAAAGCAGGGTCAACGATACAACTTTCATTCCCAGCGGAGTTACCTTTCTTAAAACGATTACTTTATTAAAATAATAAATTATTATGTGTTTTCTCTGACTTGTATCGATGTCTATATATGATATATAACTAAATAATTGAATAACGGAAACTGCCCTCTATACATATATTCTCATTTTAGTATGCCTACATATATGTAGTACTAGATATATGACAAAGCTCGTTAGTGCAGTGTAAATATACTTTTTAGCTTATATATTTATTGTCAATTTTCTACTACTACGTCAAAACTATTTTGAGGTATCCAAAACGACCTTCCATGTCTTCTAACTCCTTCCCACCAATAGCTTACCCCTCCTGCCCGCGCACCTCACCGTATGCAGTCAAGACATGCCTAGCAGAGTTAGGGCAGTTACCGGACATCGCGCGGGTCGTTGACACTAATTTGTGTGTGAGGCCTGTTGAATTAATTTTATTCGGTGAGTCCTTATTATTTTCCTTAATTTAATCTTATTCCCCTATTGCCTAGTTAATTAGCCATTTTTGGGTGCGAAATAGTTCGACCAATTTTTGAGGGTAATCAAAACTTTATTTTTCAAAAAGTTAATAACCTTCCCAGCGCGTAATCAACCTACCTATACAATTTTGGCCTTTGCTTTTCCCTTGAAATGGAAACTTCTCTTTATAGGTAACAACATTGAACTTAAGAAAAACGAATTTATTCAATGCATGAACTTACTTTAATTGAAAAATCAGGTAACATAGGTATAAGTACTATTTCATATCGCTACATAACTATACGTACTAAATTTGTTTACTGGTAAAGCAATTCATGTGAGACTGTCAAAGATTAGGCATGTTTGCGCGGGACTAAATCGTGTATACACTAACAACCCTTCGATTTCAAGTAGGCAGTGGCGGGTTTCTTATTTATTTAAGAGTATCACACGGGCAGTCTAAGTACTTTGATACCAACCTAAAAACCAAAATTGCCAACATGTACAAAGAAAGAATTAGGGATGCTTCGGCAACGTGAAATCGATTACTTATCGATCAATAATATTTTATTTATTTTAATGTAATTAAGAAAATATATTTTATATACAACTAACCATTCGTTCATTCGTTCGGTCGCAAGTGTTTTTGTGTGCTCCCACAAAAAACGTTTAAAAAAATTAGTAAAAATGTCGAAAATTAGTCAAAATAGTGATTTGAGCAGTTTAAACGAGCCAAATAGCCCATATGTAACTCCAGGGTGTGAAAAAAACTCGTTTGAAACTAATATTAATACGCCGAGAGGATCCCGTGTCCAAGCATCCGATGATTCACTTCTCATAAATGGTGATTGCGATTATGCTTTGGAACTCCGAGCCTTCAAATACCAAGTTATCATGAAAATGGACATGCAAACAAGAGCTATTATGAATCTTCGAGATTTGTGTATTTCTCTGAAATCGGAATTGCACGAAATTAAAACGAAGTTCATGTCGGTAGTTGAACAAAGTGATAAAAGCAATAGTGGAAATATCAATCGTGCTCTCAATGTAAATAACGGGCAGTGTACTCGTGCCGAGGACATATCGGAGAAGCGAATAGAAAATATACCAACACCAACATTTGCCAAAATCACTCAAAACCCGAGGCAGGTAGGCGGTAGTACTAGCGAGGCCACGAAAGCCACGAAAATCAGCTCAGCGACAATCAAAACGCGACGAGTTAAGAAACATCAATTACAATCGGTGGATCTAGAGACCGTAGAGGTAGGACATAGGAATAACAAAAATAATTCCCAAGAAAAAGTCTTAAGGTCAGAATCTGCAGATATTATGCGAGGAAAAAATTGCAATATGCTTGAGATTCAGGCTTCAGAAAAAATAAAACATCTACATGTTTGGCGATTGAAAACTCACAGTGGATCAGTTATCAACTTATGTACAAAAAATATGTGGATCGGATACAAAGATTATTAAACTAAAACATAAGCGGGAAAAAAGCTATTCTTCTTTTATAACTCCGCGGAGTGCCGTCAGAGGGACAACTGCTACTCTGTGCTTCTCGCGATTGTTTAAAACTATTTGTAGTCTTACTTTAAAGTTAATACGTAAAAACATATGTAAGTCGATAGTATATGTGTTTACGAAGATAGTGCTGTATACAATAATTCGATCAGTTAAGTAATAGTGAAGATATTGTAAGAAACGTTTCGAAGTATTCGTTGACAACACGCACTGAACCAGTGGCTCTTGTCGCTCGCTCGCTCGCAGCGTCTAGAACAAACTACCGTCGTCCGCGCTGTGCGTGAACTGCCGGCTGTATCGAGAGGAGCACTTATCACTATGAACTGCTCCTGCTTAAACCTATCTATGGAAACGGAACATAGTAACTCGCAGAATATGGCGACTAATGAAAATAATATTGCCTTTAGCAACAAACGTGACTCCAAGAATATTACGGTTCGCAAGAAAACAACGGAAAAAGAAGCGGTCGAATCCTCGAAGCTAGACTATGCGGCCGAAATACGTAATCTGCGGCAAGAAGTTTCGATGCTAAGAGATCACTTAGAAACGGCTATATCCTTAATACATAGTTGTGAAGTAAAGATAGATGCCTACTCTGATCGTATATTTTCAATTTTTGAAAAAGTAAAACCGGATAACTGTCCTGTACATCCTAAAATTATTACAAAAGAAAATGTGCAACTGCTCTCTAAAAAATCGAAATTAAAAAATGCGAATAAAAATAAAAATAACAAGAAAACTACACCTATTCCCTCTTTACAATCACTAGAAAAGGAGAAGGAAAAAAGTAGTAAAAACTCGGTTTCGCCGAATTATAAGCCGGATGAACTGCAACCTGTGCAAAGGAAGAAACATCCTACTACTGTGTGCGGCGCGGCTGGTCCCAGTGTCACCACGCTGAAAGCTGTTCAGCCCCGTCGGTTTCTTCACCTTTGGAATATGGAGTCCAGCGTGGAAGAAGTTAGGGGCTACCTTCAACAACTATGTCCAGGAAGTGTATGTGTGGTCGAAGAACTGAAAGCACGCGGTAACTACAAATCCTATAAGATTGAAGTGCCGGCAATTTGCTTTGATACTTGTTTGTCCGCCGAAGTGTGGCCAATAAACGCTAAAATAAAAATCTGGAAGGCACGTACTACGAAACCTGTTGGAACGTCTCAAACGCGACTCAATCCGCCCTTTCGTGACACAACGACGCCCCTTACATCAAGTCAAGAGTAAGCCGATTGAAGTTTTTTATCAAAATGTTCGAGGGCTGAGGACAAAATTGCAAGACTTCTATATAAGTGTGGTGTCTTCAGAGGCCGATTTATTCGCGATAACAGAAACGGGATGCACGGAGTCCATCGCAGACGCGGAACTTATCCCTACGGGTTATACAGTGATCCGCTGCGATCGCTCCGACGGGCGTAAGCTGGGAGGCGCCTGTCTCGTGGCCACGCCGCGCTTGAAACTGCAACGAGTACCGCTACCGGACGAATTGGACATTGCAATGCGATCTTTCGAACTCGTTTGTGCTAATGTTTATTTGAAAAATAGGTTTTTGTTATCAATGTGCGTAGTGTATATACCACCGAATAGTGATACAAATGAATATATGTTATTGTTTAAGTATATCGAGGAACATTGTTGTAAACATAGGTACACTTTAGTTATAGGAGATTTTAATTTGTATTCATGTCCCTTAAATGTATTAGATTATTATAACAATTATTTCTTGAACTATTGTGGATTCACCCAGCGCAATAACGTGTGTAATGTAAATAATCGCAAGTTGGATTTGGTATTAAGCGTTAATGAGTTGCGCGAAATAGAGGTGCGCGCGGCCAACGAGCCGCTGGTGACTGAAGACGCGCATCACCCCCCTCTGCTCGTGTCGCTGCGCCCGCCTGCTCGTCGTACCACGGATAGGTTTACTGACTGTGCGAAACCTACGCACTGTGCTTTTTCGGGTTGGAACTTTAATAAGGCAGATTTTAATGCTTTGTACTCAAAAATATTTGAAGTAGACTGGTCTTTTGTTTACGGTTCTGATCTTAATATGTGCTTAGACTATTTTTATAACGTAATATATTCAATATTTGATGAATGTGTACCCCGAAAAAAACCGAGCAGGGTCCGCTCTGAATATTCGTATCCAGAGTGGTTTAACGCAGATATTATTCATAAAATAAAACGGAAGGCATTACTGCATAAGCAGTACAAAAAGAGCAAGTCTGTAAAAGCATACAAAGAGTTTAGTGATTGTAGGGCGGAAGTAAAAAAAGCAATTAGCTTAGCACTGAATTCTTACCGCGATCGTCTACAGGCTAATTTGATCGATGATCCTAAATCATTCTGGAAGTTCGTAAATAGTAGCAGGAAAGATCGCAAGTCTATAGGTCTCCGAAAAAACGGAGAAGAATTAACAGCAGAGCAAAGCGTAAATGAATTTGCGTCCTTTTTTGAATCCGTGTATAGCCCTAAAAAACCTAAACTCAGTCTTCAAGATGCAATTACAGGTGCTGGTGTTGGAAATGAAGCGGCCAGAATAGAGATACCTCAGCTGAAGTTAAGTGAGGTACGATATGCGCTGCGGCGACTTAAATCTAAAAAATCTATTGGGCCAGATATGGTACCCCCCTTTATAATTAGAGACTGTCGGGAAGTACTGGCGGATCCGCTGTTGCATATTTATAATCTGAGTTTAAAATATGCAACGTTTCCTAATAGATGGAAAATTAGTCGAGTGATTCCCATTCCCAAAGGTAGGGACGTTGATACTGCAGAGGGCTATAGACCTATAGCTATACTATCAGCGCCAGCCAAAGTATTCGAATCAGCAGTTCAGCGAAGCTTTTTGGCACAGGTTACTCCATACCTATCTGAGGCACAACACGGATTTCGACCAGGTCGCAGCACCACGAGCAATCTCCTAAGTTATGTGGCAGATATAGTACCAGAACTTGACAATAGGGGCCAAGTAGATAGTGCATATTTTGACGTAAAAAAAGCTTTTGATTTGGTGGACCACGATGTCCTATTAACAAAATTGGCAAGGGTGGGATTAACACCGCACTTCCTGAGCTTTTTTGTAAGCTATTTGTCCGAAAGGCAGCAATATGTGGAGTATATGGGGCATAGTTCTAAGCCATATATCACTAATTCGGGAGTAGTGCAAGGAAGCAATTTAGGGCCGTTGCAGTTCACGATAATGCTAAATGATTTACCTGCAGTCGTTCACAACGCTAAATGTCTTCTCTTCGCTGACGACATGAAACTATATATGTCTATTAAAACTAATAAAGACTGTGAAGAAATGCAAAGAGATATTGATCGGGTTGTGGCTTGGAGTAAGTGTAATTTTTTGCAATTTAACGCATCAAAATGCAATACGATCACTTTCTCTAGAACTCACAGGCCGATCATGTACGATTATCATGTGGATGGGATACCTCTAATCCGATTAACTGAAGTGAAAGACTTGGGGGTACACTTCAAAAATGATCTAAATTTCCACAGTCATATTAGCAAAATTTGTATGAAAGCCTACAGAAATCTAGGTTTTGTTCTTCGGATGGCCTGGGGATTGTCCAATGTCAAGGCGGTTATTGTTTTATATAATGCCCTAGTCAGAAGCCACCTTGAAGCAAATGCCATTATCTGGGCCCCATATCAGACGAAGTACAATCTCATGTTGGAAAGAGTACAGAATAAATTTACTCGTTACTTATATATGAGACTGTATGGCGTGTATCCTTTTTACCCGCTCATGTATCCCACACTCTTTGTTTTGGGCATGGTGGGATATAATCAGCTCAGTGTTAGAAGGGACCTGGCTTTCGTAACGTACTTGGTCAAAATTTTGGCAGGAAAGGTACATAACGCGGATATCTTGGGACGTCTAACATTATATGTGCCAAATGAATATATAAGCCGTAGAAAGCGTCCGCAATTGCTGGTGGTTCCTCGTGCGCGCACTAACTTGTTAGCTGAGGCGACGTTGACGCGTGCACTTAGGATTCTTAACGCTACAGATCGGGCTATAGATATATTTCACTGCTCCCTGGGTGAATTCATAAAAGTAGCTTCATATATAATATGTAATTATTAATATTTAAATGTATTTGTATTTTTTTTTTCTATCGTATTAGGTTTAACCTGTTAAGGTAGGAATTTTTGTAAATAAATAAATAAAATAAAATAAAATAAATAATCACCACTTCAGAATCAGTGTATCAGAAGTTATGCCAGCCGGAAGATTTTATCAAATTATTCGGTGCGACCGTACTGACGGACGTAAACAAGGCGGTGCATTTCTAGTGGCCGCGCGCGGTTTACGAATACAAAGAGTGAGCCGATGCGAACTAGATGACGTCACGGTAGATCGCCACTCGTTCGAACTAGTCTGTGCGACCGTTCACTCTAATGACAAATTATTGTTGTTGTGTTGCGTAGTATATCTACCTCCTAAAATCAGTGAGAACGAATATATGTTATGTTTAAATTTATTAGAACGACTGTGTTTAAAATACGAAAAAGTGTTATTGCTAGGCGATTTTAATTTGTATTCTACTAGTGGAGTTGTTAGAAATTATTTTGAATTTTTTAAATCTTATTGTAATGTCACTCAAGTTAATAATATTCCGAATTGTAATGGTAGGCAACTGGATCTTGTGTTGTACTCGTCATACTTGTGGGATAAAGTGTCAGTGAAGGAGGCGGACGAGCCGTTGGTGCTGGTGGACCCGTATCACCCGCCACTCTGGGAAAGTAGGACCTCTGCAGGTAGGAGTAAATTAACTTGGAGTTTCTATAAAGCAGATTTTGTTTCATAGACATTTATAATATGCGAAACCCGGAGGACGCCCTCGCAGTGTTATATGATATTTTGAATAACATTCTAGATAAGCATGTATCTAGAAAGTCTACCGCGAAAATCATAAATGTAGCTATCCCGCGTGGTATACGACCGATATTATTAATGATAAAAGGCTTAAGGCTAAGTTACACAAACGCTATAAATTAAGTCGATCGGATACGGATTATAACGCATTTGCATTTTTGTCGAAATAGAGTTAAGGCTACTCTAAAATAGACATTTCAGATATACGAACAACGAATTCAAAACAATTTAATTAAAGACCCTAAATCTTTTTGGAAATATATCGGAGCAAAAAAATCGTCTGCACAAAAACAAACAGTTTATAAAAACGGTGTGCAGTTATCGAATTCGGAATGTGCGAATGAATTTGCGAAATATTTTTATTCTGTGTACAATAACGAACCAGCGAGACTCAATGTTGACGAAGCGGTGAGGGCGAGCGGCGGCGGTAGTGCTCGTGTTCACGTACCCGAACTGTCGCTAGCCCAAGTAAAAGTTGCACTCGTTCGGCTGAAGCCAAAAAGCTCCGTGGGACCAGATGGAATTCCGCTTTTCTTGTTACGCGACTGCAGGTTAGTATTGGCCGAGCCATTTCTACATGTTTACAACTTATGCCTTGAATGGTCACACTTCCCGGACGCCTGGAAAACTACTAGGGCTGCACCGATACCTAAAAGCGACGGCGGTAAAACTATCGAATCGCTCAGACCCGTTGCAATTTATCATCGATTGCTAAAGTATTCGAGTCAGCCATTCAACGAAGTATGCAGCAGCAAATAGATACGTACCTAACTGACTCTCAGCATTGGTTTAGGCCAAAACGAAGTACGACCAGCAACTTGCCCAATGCAGCCACGTACCTGATTCCACATATTGACTCCGGGATGCAGGTGGATGCAGCCTACTTCGACTACAAAAAAGCCTTCGATGTAGTGGATAACGATGTCCTTCTTTCGAAGCTGGCAAAAATAGGTTGCACTCCTAAACTATTATGCTTTTTTGCCAGTTACCTAAAGGATAGGAAACAGTACGTGGAGTATTGTGGGTGTCAATCTGAGACATATTTTACTCGTTCCGTCGTAAGTCAAGGCAGCAATATAGGATCCTTGCATTTTTCGCAATTTTTCCTTGCAAGATAAAGATAAAATAAAGACGTGGAGCGAAAATAACAAGCTGCAAATTAATTTATCTAAGTCATACGTCATAACATTTACCAAAGCAAAAGCCCCAATTCGGTACGAATACAAATTGGCAGGCGCACCTTTAGAAAGAGTGCAATCTGTGCGTGATCTTGGAGTTACAGTAGACGCAAGGTACACTTTAGAGACCACATAGTCAGTGTCTGTAAGAAAGCTTATGAGCGATGAGTTTGGTCCTTCGGAGAGCGTCTACATTCACCAGAACCAGAGCCATCACAATGCTGTATAACGCATTAGTAAGAAGTCAGTTGGAATCCAACGCCGTTCTGTGCGCGCCACACGAAGTTAAGTATAGCAGTATGCTAGAGCGTATTCAAAATAAGTTTACTTATACCAAAGGCAGTACGGGGTGTATCCTTACTACCCCTTAATGTATCCGACGTTATCCGTTTTAGGCATGCTAAGCTCGAAGCACGGAGGAACCTAGCGTTGGCCACGTATGTGCTCAAGGTGCTGAGAGGCATCACATATGACCCCATGGTGCTGCAGTCCATCAGCTTCTACGTCCCAAATGCCTACCTACGACGACGTAATAGATCACTGTTCGCCATCAGTCCCGCGAGAACAAACTTAATGTATTATTCCCCGAATATGCGAGCACTTCACATTCTTAACAGTGTAAATTGTAAAATAGACATTTTTAATTGTACATTGAGCGAGTTTATAAAGACTATAACATATGCAATAGTGTTATAAGTAATATGATATGTATTAATGTTAATTTTATTTAAATGATTAATTGTAACTCACTATTATGTTGGTATTGTTATTCTGTAGGAGTGTGTGATTGGTTTTTAATAAATAAATAATAAATAAAAAACTGTTTATATATTAATTCTGCAACAAATGTAAAATATTGCGAAATTATAAATTTATTTGCATAATTAAATTTGAAACTTTTTAGTTTGACGGTGAGCAATTTTCGCTTCACGTGGCTACCGAAGATGGCCCCTGAGACGTATTATACGGCTAAACGGTCAAAATAAAAGGGTCAAAGATGTTTCAGCATCAAATTAAATTTAGTCTTTCCTACTTTAACGGGTCTTGCCACCTTTGAATAAGACGTCACAGAGTTGAATACAGCATACATTTGGGCTTGACATTGACATAAAGTGTCAATAACCGTGAGCGCCACGGTGACATTTGTTATATCGTCTGTTATATTGAATATCCTTTATATTATGATAAAGCGCGTAGAAAATTCAAGACGCAAGTTTTCTTCTTTCTTCGTTTTTAATTTTAACCGTCATCACATCTACTATAATATGTATAAAATCCCTCAAAGAAAGGATATTGAAAAATAATATAATTGGACATCTGGAAAACCCAACATGCCTATCGATCAAATTCAGTATTCGGAAAGATATAGCGATGACGTCTATGAATATAGGTATGTGGGGGTTTGATTAATTCCATATATTTAATTAAATAAGGTGTTAAATAGTAGTTCTATAGTTTTTATCACTTTATTCTTGTACCCTGTAACAGTTAAAATTTACAGCATTCAAACTATTTTTTTTGTGAAAGTAAGTGCTTTATTAGTCAATAGAGATAAGTAAAAAGTTTAAGGTTGCTTAGAAATTCCATTTTTGAGACAATTAAATTCTCTTTTTAGACATGTTATCCTACCAGCTGATATTGCTCGTCTAGTCCCAAAATCTCACTTAATGACAGAGACAGAATGGAGGAACCTAGGAGTACAGCAAAGTCCTGGATGGCTCCACTTTATGGTTCACAACCCTGAGCCGCACGTTCTGCTATTTCGTCGACCTCGATCAGATTATCCTGCCCCCGTAAACAGTTTAGATACAAACACAAATTCAGCGGTAAAAGTTTGATGCCTTCATACTCCAAAAGTAGGTTTTTATTTCATTGATGTTTTTGACATTCCTTAGTATGGGTGTGTTCCTTCTTTTGATACAGTTGTTTATTCTTTGGAATAAAAGTATGAAAAAAAGAAACTATAAAAAATACAAATATATTATTAATTATATCTTACTTGTAATATGTTTGTTATCTGTAGGCAAATTTTGTAATAAATGGCTATTTGACTTATACTTAAAAGTTTATGGAAAATTATGTTAGACCTAATGTTTGGATATAGGTAATCTGTGTGGTCGAAAAATAAATATTACCAATTATTAGCAATTTACACAAATCAACCTTGAGTTGACCATTGAACACGGTATAATTTTCATATATAATATTTTATAGATAAATAAAAAAGTTATAATATAATACAGGATGCCAAGATCACATTTTTATAGATTATCAGATTCTGCAAATAGTTAAATTTTTTATTTAAATCTACTACTTAGATATATGTTTTGGGGCAGGAATTGTTTTTAAAAGTACCAAATAGTATGTGATTAGAAACTAAAATGAAATTCAATAATTTACAACTCAACGTGGGTGTTGTCACTTTCTTTACCATATAGTAGTTTAAAAAATATCAAAGATGTGTTGTATAACAATCTGCTACTTACTTTGTAAATTTACTTCTTTTAATTTAACTTTTTTTATCGCCTTGTACAATGGGTAAAATGCGCAGGTTAATTTTAATTACAGAAACTATTATATAATATTCAATATTATTTGTCAAGTAGCCAATTATTTATTGGTCTATACCAATACCTCTTGTAGTATTATTTTGCTTATTAAGTAATACAAGAATAAGATATTTGTTATAAGAATATTGTTTGACTTGGAGTCATACCTCTGCCTCTATTTAGTGCCATCATGTTTTATTTAATCCCTCAATTTAAGCGATTAGCTGTCCTGACATATGTTCATTCCATTAAAAAGGGTTCCTTACATCAGTGTGGGTTAGAAGGTATGTTTAAAAAATGATTGCAACCTATTATTATTAATTATTTAATACACATTACAGAATTAATACAAAAGAATTTGAGCCGTCTAAAATTGATTATCAATTTCACTATAATTGCAATTTAGAGGTTTAGTTTTAGGTATGTTCAAGGTGCATTTGTTTGGTATTAAATAACTATTTCATGCTTTTGCTCAAATTTATTTGAGTGCTGAAAATTTTATGATTGGTAGGTCTTGCCAATAAACGAATAATCCTAAAATTTTTACTTGCGGAAAATTCTACGTTTTTACATATTCACTTATAAAAGGACAATAGCCAAATTTGCATAGGGACTGTACTAGACTAGAAATTTCCGCGATTTTCTGTATGAAAATATTATTATCTTCTAAAAAATCAGTTCAATTACATATGTTTCAACTGCAGAAATGAGCATGTTGACGTGCTTTATCATGGAGTATATAAATAGTTACGTAGAAAGCCGAAAGAGTTTAAGGGAGGGTAAATTAAAGAAGTATTTAAATTATAGATAGACAATTGTTAGTGTCCATGTCCATAACGCGTCGATGGACAAATCGTTCCGTTACACGCAAATGATCAAAATACTTGAGTTATTATTTAAAAGGCGAAAATTTAAATTCGCAAAAAAGCTTAAAAATAAATTGTTTTACTTAGCACCGGTTTAAAAACAATTACGCTTGAAATCGTTCTTCAATATCGTGAAACAATTCTACCACAAAAATAGACTTAAATAAAATAACAATAATAGAGAGAGAGTTATGTAAATTATTGATAAAATTTAATTTTTTAACAAATTAATTATGTCTGCTTCAATTGTAAAAAAATATTTGAGTCCTCGCCTTTCGTTTGGCCTTTGTGGCAAATTTCGATAATTTTACTTATATGTGATCTGTCAGTGCCATAGTGGTCTTACTTCATAGGCACCTGTGGCTTTTTCAATTGAGACTTAGGCAAAAAAGAATGTGTACTATCTTTTGTTTAAAAATAAGCTAACAATTTTTGGTCAGTGTGGTCTTGTATATTAACTTTTTTAGACTATGAAAATATAAATAAGTCATAAAATTTCAGTTAGGATACTCTGGCTGTAGCGGCCACATTATTTTCGGGTATTTGCATCAAAGTGACCTGTAACCCGAGTAACTCTTTTGTGAAAATAGGTGCGTGGTTGGGAGTGGGGTAAAAACAAAAGAGTATCACTATGCAGAATGTTTATTTGGATATAACATCTAAAACATCATAAACACAGTAAAATATACAAATAAATGCGAAGGAAATATTTTATATAATTGCCAAAAGTCAAAGATTATTTCAACGTAAAATGAAACTAAACATCTAATATGTTAAAACAAATATATTAAAATTATTAACAATATATTAATTAGTTTAGATTTAATATTTTTCGTTCGTTAAGTAATAATAATTGTGCTTTTCGATATCTTATAATCTATATTAGCAAAGAAATAAAATGGAACGGAAATTTCATAGTTGCCGTTAAAAGTAAAAAGCTACCAATGTAAAGTGGGCAATGGTTGGAATTGTGTCTCTGCCCCCTTCCGCCCCGGTCTTTCCGGCCCCGGCCAGCATCGTGGGGCTTTATTAGACAGGACAAGCTAACACCGATTACTAGTTTCATTCTTCATTGCGTTTTCAGTCAAGCGTTTTCATGTTGACTGGAGACGTTTTTGTAAAAAACAGCATACTTACACACAGATTTAAAAGCTTCACAGTGAATTATCATTTGTATAAACGAATTGTAAATGATGTACGTTGATACGCGCTAGTACCGGGCGGCGCCGGAACGCGTCAGCGGGCAGAGACCTCGGCATTGCCATAATTTATTTAACATTAAATAAAAATGATATGGTAAGTCGGAAGTCCTTATTGTAAATTAGTTTTAACAGTCACTTAACATTCGTATAAAAGTCATCTCTCCAATATAGTCTTATCTAAAAAGGTAGGCGTCATCTTAAATATAGACACGCGATATAAAATGTCCAATACACGACGCGACAGATGCCACGTTCAATAACACTAACGTTCTAGGAAGTATGAAGGAAGATTGTGCCTCTGTTTAGTGAAACGCTTCGGATACACATTAGTCTACGAAGAGTCTACTGTCTCAGACCGCGACGGGCGAAAGGAATCGACTAATACAAGCTGGATTATTCATATTTCATCATCTAACGATACATATTCTCGATAACTCGATACAATAATAACATACGATATGCGCACAAACAACATGCATCATATTTATTTGGCTACCTCTAACACTACGGCGAAACTTTTAACGAATTCATTAACTACAGCCGCACAGTGGGCATAATCTTGTACGTCAAAATGTGTTCTAACTTTAACGACACCTTCCACTAAAACGTAGGCCTCTCCGCCCAACCGCAGTTAAAAGGAGTCGAAACTGGTCGGTTAAAGCTAAGATTGCGTTTATGTTAAAGCTCGGCTTCTATGTCGACGCTCGCGGCAAATGATATGGCAATTTACAAGACGTGATATGACATACAATGGAGATTGTACTAATAGATATGTACTTAAACGATTAACAATTTTACCAAGTTAGGGAAATTTGGTACGATTTAAAAGTATAAATGCTCAATACAAATGTCTTTTCTGTTGATAGACTCGCTCCGGCGGCGCTGTCGAGTGAGTGTTCTTTAGTATTAGACGAAGGACGAAACGGAATGACTCAATCACGATACGTACTGCAACTAAGGAATGCCCTTATTTATACAATAAGCGTTGCATACGATGATCGTCTCCGAACCCTAGCTACCGAATAATCAGTTTGCTCTGATCGATCCGTGACTATACCCCAAATGGCCCCTAGTTCCCGGGACACGGGAATGGGGGAGGAGGAAGAGGCCGAATTAAATAGATAGAGAGGGTCCTTTTTATATAAAAGAGAATTTACATCAACTGTAGAGGAATTTTGTCAGCGGGGTGTAAAAGCTCGGTTCAGTTAGTGGAATGGTTTGCCCTCGTTTAAGGTATAAAGGTGCAGTTCGTGCAGGTGTTAGTGATGAGTCGAAAATTAGTAGGAATTATAGTGAGATGAAAAAAATTTCAATCTTTGGTCCGAGATTCGACAGCGTTGCCGGAGCGATTGAAAGCACCAAAGCGCGTTTGACGATAGGAATTATTTGTCCTTTTCCTCCGGTTTCCCGTTAGTGTACTGGGGAGGCGCGTTGGTCAGGTTTTGTTGCTCCTCCGTCATAACTGATACTAGTTCTTCGACAGCTTTACCGAGGTCATCTGAAAGAATTAAGCACCACTTTAGACGCAAGATTTTGTCGCCACGCTTTTACGAGTATAAATCCAGCTTTATTTAAAATATAAAGCCGCATTCGCCTATTATAATTTATGTATACCAGATTACCATTTTATTATAAAGGGTCTTCTAGTCGTATTATTAATAGGGCATTTTTAAATTATTTCTCTTAATCGCCGCATTTCAACTTAAAATAACTGGTACCTTTATTATTACCTCAAGGTATGCGTCCTTATCGTAGCAGCGAAAACAGAAAAAATAAGTTAGTACAGAATTTCAAACGATACGTAAAAACTCGTGCAGAGCATGCTATTAAAGAACAACAATCTAAAAACGCAAACTTGTGCAACGAAATAACACCCACACACTACCTGCAAAAAAAGTGAAGCTAAGAAAACAAAATTAACGACTAAACACAATCAGCTGGACAAATTTGTATTATATATCTGTTTAATCGCTGTTTTAGGATCTCGAACTTGAAAGACGTTGTCTTCTCACTTGTGTTGTACAGACAATAACATCTTTTTTATTACTCAATATAACCAGTATAACAATGGACACAGATCTGATGGATTTATATATGATGCAACTTGCACGTCTCCCTTTAATTGTATCAGCGCTGACATTCTCAAAAGTCTCTTGTATCCTTTGTTATACCTTCGGCTACACCTTTTGTTAGAGATCACACCGAGTGAAACTAAGATGCGAATAATTAAGGAAGCTTTCGAGCGAAGTCGTTGCCACAATTCGAACCTGCACAATGCATGAGGGAGTGCACAGCATGAGGTGGGGGAGGAGGTCGCTCCAGTCCTTCGCGCCCTTCGCGCTCGCTACGTCCGCCATCTTGCACGCAAAAATGACAATTGACATTGATTTGTGAATTACGAAACTAAATCTCGTTTTCGCCAATGTTAATTATAAAACTTGTCGTTTCTTACAATTTAGTTTATTCCGAATAATTAAAATACGTACTTGTATGTGCATCGTGGTATAGACCGTTGTGCATTTTGGCGGGAGAGTCTGTGGCGAGTTGCGAAGCTGTCACCGACCGCGTTTGAAGGGTTCCAGTGCGGCCCGCGGGTGATCCTTGTGTTGGCTGAAAGAGGGGTTTAACATATTATGACGTAGCCATTTTATAGTTTATTTCACATCAAATCAAGTATTTATTGAAAACTAATTTTTCATTTAAATACGTATAGTATATAAATTTGGCAATTGTACAAAACAAAGGTCTAAACGAGGTTTAAGGTTACATACCTCGTCCAGTAGACGCCGAAGTCTTTGCAACTGCGCTTCTAGCTGTCTGTTGTGCTCTTCTAGGATTTGCATTCGAGCTTCCAATCGCCCTTTGTGTTGACGAAGAAGACGAGCTTCAGCCATCATATCCTGGAATATACAGATAGAATAAAGAATAGGGAGTCACGTTAGTCTTCTCTGTTTATTTCTCGATTAGTCTGTGTGTTGTAAAATAACCATCTTTATTAGACTATTGTCCAAATGACTTTACCTGATCGACAGGTGCATTCCTATTTTCGTTGATAGCGAGCTGCTCTTCAGGGGTGGACCCTGGTGTCTGTTTGGCTTTCAGTCGTTCGTACTCTGCCTGGAGACTAGCATTTTCTTCCTCGAGTTCTCTGAAGAATAAGATTTCAACAAACAAATTCAATCTTCTGTATATAATTAGTTACTCATTTCAGTGTGTTAAAGTATACTTCGATAGTTTTCCAAAAGCACGCCACGAATGTAACATATGATGAGATGAATTTCTAGTCGCTTTGTCTAGATTTAATATGTGATGTGAGCAAGTGATGTATACCTGATCATGGCTTCAAGCTCGTGCCGCTGTTCTCGGTGTATAATGGAGACGACCTGGACTGGCGAACGAGGCGCTTCTTCACCTTCGTTGGTGCCGTTGAGAGATGCGCAATACTGCGCAATTAGTTGGTGTTCTTCGTCGCTAAAAATATTGAAAATTTCAAATTAGTAGTCTTCAAGACAGTTTGGAGGGTAATAAATAACTCACGTAGAGATAGTAATTGGAACCTTTAAGCTGGGACTGAATTGAATTAGAATCTATATTATCTCAATCGTATTATATCTTGCGTTAGTAAAGTCTACCTGTCAGGAGTATCAGCTGGTCTGGCGCCAAGTTCAACCTGAGCCAGGCGAGTGGCGTACAGTTCGAGCCTGGAGTGCATGTCGTCTCCCGTCCCGGATGCTCCGTGTTGAGGCGAAGGCGCTGGTGACTCGAGCGCGTCTCCTAGAATTTTCGATAGGAATATAAAATAAAGTGTAATATTATTCTGAAGTTATCTAAAAGTCTTTGACGGGTTTGTTGGTCCAATAAATAGATAATAATAACGGGTTTTGACTCGAAGTTGTCGTCGTCGTCCGGGTCACTGACCTTAGTCCACACATGAAAAAGCCGTGTTAATCGCATTACGGTTTCAGTCCGTGGATTTTCAGAATATTCCAAAAGTTGTCGACAGCGCATCTTGTTTAGACGTTACATAAGTAATGTATATTCTTCTATCAAGTGTGAACTCAGTGTTTGTCTGTCTTCCGTTAAAAAATATTTTTTTACTATGATATTGTGCTGGTCGTAATTTGGCGTAATACAAACCTTCAAGAACGGTTTGAACGGGCAAATAGCCGACTCTCGGATGTTTCTTGAAATACCTCGCAGACTTGAATTTGTTCCGAAGGGCTCTCGTGAAATCACGTACGTCTTCTCCCGATGTCGTCTGTAAATGGAAACAAATTGTTTGTCATTCATCCATACAATAAGCCCGACTAAAATATTTAAATAACTTTTAGTCTCTTGTTCTCGGGTTACTTACAGCAGTGCAATACTCCTGCATTGGGTGAGTCAGTTTGTGGTTCTTTGCTTTTTTGCCGCTGAAGAAGCACTTTTGGCACATGTCGAAGTTGAAACACTTTAGGCAACGATACCTGGAATATGTATATCACATATGATAATAGTAGAAAGTTGTTTCTTGTTTCATTCTTTTTAACATGAAGTACCCAATACTTGTTCAGTTTCTCACCTAAACCCAACAATGGGATATTCCTTGCAAATATTGCACTTCGCCTGGTGTTTCGCGCTTTCAGCTGCGGCTAATCGGTGCAGCACAGGCAACCAGACCATGGATTGCGGTTCCTTCTGAAGCCACTGTAGGAAGTGGAACGCCTCGATATACTGGACTTGGCCATCTGCGTCTCTTTCTAACGTCTTTTCCTTGTCTTCTTTCTCTTTTTCTTTGTCTCCTGCAACTAATTATGTTGAATACGTTAGATACCTGAAAGACTACAGATTTAGTCTCATAAATAATACCCTCTCAAGCCTTTCCAAGACTTACTTACCAGCTTTTCTATCCAACGTGCTTCCTTTGTTGCCTTCCTTAGTGGCAGTCGAGGCCTGCTCGAAACAACTCCTCACGGATGGCTCAATGTTTGACCCTCCGAAGGCTGCCACTTCACCTAGCTGACGCGGTACCTTTACAAAAAATAAATAGATAAAATTGATGACACAAAATTACCACAAATAAAAGCATTTTTATATGAAAATGGTTAATATTAAAAACGTCCTACCTGTATACAATCGTGTAGCAGAAGTCCTAGCTTTCTTTGGTCAGCTCGGCAAGATGGGTCTGCTATTAACCGGAATAAATACCTAAAATAACATTATTTATTATTGAATCATAATTATTCATACAGATTTGTGAAGTAAACTTTTCAGGAGAGACAATGGTAAAAAAGTGATCCTAGATCGGCGTCGACCTTTGTCCCTAGTTCTCAAAATGGTGTGAAATGAACTATACATATTGACTCACCTGTATTTCTCTTCCAAGTGTCCCTTACAGAGCAACACGAGACCCACTTTGAAACTCAGCACTCTTATCTGTCCGGTCCTCTGACTGTCATACACGTTGAGCAACCAGTTGATCGATAAATCGAGGCATAAGGGTACGTTTACTAGACTGGGATTTTCGCCAGCTATCGTCTGCAAACAGCCAAGTATCGTATTAAATTGTTAAATATAACAAAGCATTTAAACTGTACAAAGAATATGATGAGCTGTGGGTATATATCAGTAACTAGAGGCACTCCGCGATATTGATATCTTCCCTTTCGTCTTATCGATTCAAAAATTAATAAATAAAAAATCTCTAAACACAATTATTATCAAATCGGCACACAACATAAGAAGTAGCAACATAAGAACTAGCGACCCACCCCTGCTTCACTCTGGTACAATACTCATACTAAATACACTACAGAAAAACTGCGCATGTCGTATTTGAAAACCTTCCTTTTGAATCACTCTGATTTAAGCGCACTTAGGGACAGAAAAAGCGACTTTCTTTTATAAAATCTAGTGATGTTGAATTAAAAAAAAATTACCTCGTACAAGGACGTAAGAACAGTGATCATGTCTGGTATATCGATCAACCGGTCGTTTTGCGCGCGAAGTCCGTGCGAGTCGAACGCTTCTAAAGCCGCGGGTAGTTGTAACATGTGCACTGTAAACGAGTAGTAAGTCATGAAAACATGCTGTCCCATCTTAATAGTATACAGAGATATTTATATATTGTATACTATTTATATGATTTGGTTATTTATATACTCTATACTAATGATACAAGTAAGTAACAACGGGAGCTATCGGTAGTCGAATGATAATTATATTAATAAAACAAGTAATTGAATTGATTATATTGGTTATTAACGTAGGCTGTAATTAAAATAGAAGTTAGGTAACAAAATCCAGGTAGGAGTATAAAGCACATTACAAATTCATATGTTGTTTAATGAAATAAAAATTTGTTACTAGTTTGAAGAGGAAACCACCAGAAAGAAGTAAAGTCTCGTTCACAAAAAACATATACTTACTACACAAAGCCTTCTGCACCGTCCTTAATTTCAGCGCCGTCCTGTACGCCGAGAATCTGACCTCGTTGAGATCCGCCAACGAGTTCATTAGTTCTATCATCTTAGGGTGGTCCCAATGTGTAGTCTCCAATTCGTGACTGAAACGGAACGTAAATAATATCATATATTGCACAAATAAACATTGCGTATAATATCATTCTACTTATACATTGCATGTCATAACTTCAAATGGTCAAATGTCCCATATAAATAAAAATAATATATAAATTCACTGTTGAATTTGTTCAGAAACCGGCATGTCCTACACCAAAAGTCCACAGCTGCGGGAAATATTAAAAGCTGGTAAATGTCAAGACATAACACTTGTTTATACTAAGGCATCACAGTGATACTTACTTGATATAATAAGGTACGTTTGCCGGAGTAACCGCTCGCTCCCAGGGCGGGCGGACAGAACCTGCCAGGAAGCTCTGAGCAGCCCCTGCCCCTCCGTCACGGGCGACGCCAGCCAACTGGCGAGCTCGTTCTTCTCCACCTGAGCTCAGGGCCGACACTCTGAAATCATTATTTAGCATAGTATACATTTTTATATTTAACAATCACGAGATCCCTAGAGATAAATAGGCCACAATATAATTCCAAAACAAATAATCAAATGTCGGTTGACGATTCATCCCGTATTAAACATACGTTATATTTGATTAAGATAAAAAACGTCATGTACTAATATTGCTTTGGCTTCATCAATCATCATCAATATGAAAGTTGTCGTTGAATTTTTACCTGGTGTTCAAGTCTTCGAGTCTAGCAACCAAATGCTCTGGTAGCTGTACGTTATCCCGCGTCATCTGCTGCGCTTGTGCTCTCAACTCGTCCACCTGTCTCCTCAGAGGCGGTATTTGGGCTCTCGCCCTTGTCACGGCGTCCAGCTGCGTTCTGGCATCTCTGGCGTCGCCTGGTGCCCGCCATGTTGCTCTGGCTGCTTCCGCTGCTTGGACCCGAGAGGCTAAGTCGTCTAGAGCCGTTGTAAATTGCCGGACGCGCTGAAAACATAATTATGGTTCGTCAGTACAATCTTAATATAATAAAAAGGAATCGATTAAAATGGACATCAAGATTTAAATAAAGAACATTGCATCGTACGATATAGAGATAGTTAAGAACAACCTTGTGTGTCAAGGTGTCAACCGCTAGCCTTGGGGATCATCTTGCATTACCTAGGCCGTCTAGATTTTATGGACTTGTCTGAATAGCATATGCCGGCGTCACATTGTCATATGATTGTATGTTATTGATTGACATAGTTACAGTAAATAGGGGTAGTTGGTTATTTGAGTTACACTAATGCCAGAATAACAATGTTTAATCATATGCCACAAGTAGTTTGTCACAATACACTTGAAACGTCTCGATTGGTGTTTTGATTTGAGTCTTGGAAAAAAGAAAAATGTTTACGAGAAAATACGGCCTTATTCAATCCGCATGTCTATTAAGCGGTAATCGACACAACAGCCGCCACGTTTAGCATAAGTTGCCATTGATTTGTATTCGAAGAGCGCGCAGATGCGTGGGCGCCTCTTGTTAAAAACATAAAGTGACGTGACTTGAGAGTCGCGATCGAAAGCGCCAATCAGATTTGCAAAGTTCGTCTGTGACAAGTGTCATGACAGTTTGTGTCCGAACCAACCTGATTCTTAATAGATTTATTAGATTTACATTCAAATCAATAGAAATTATTATAGTTTCGCTACAGTCGTTTGTATATTATGATGAAAAGATAGTGAAACGGCTTATTTAGGAGCTATCTCTTTATATATCAAAACAACTACAAATTTAATATAAAGAGAAATAGTTCGGTAAGAATCAATTTTAAAGTAGAAAAGTCGATAAGATGACGTATATGCATCGATAATAAAAGCATTTCTATAATTATAACAACTTAAATGCTGTTGAATTAAATACAAATGTTAAAGGCATATTTTAAATGGCGACTTGTTTTCTGGTTAATAAGAGTATCGCTTTTACTAAAGGTATACAAGGCGAACGTAAACAGTAAATTCCCTGTTTCCACTTCTTACGGACTTTCTCTCATTAAATGGCACCTCTAATGAAGGCTCTCGAGAAACTTCTGTTCTCTCACTTCAATAATACCTCTCAATTTACCTTTGAAACTCGACTCGCGGCTAATTTGTGAGATTTTACCTACCTACATAGCTCAAATTGTAGTTCAAAAAGACTTACGACGCGTATTAAAATATATTTATCCACTTGTAAACGGCACATTAGAGGACAGGTATCCTAGAGTACAGGATCCTTAATTGATCCACGACACAGATACATAGACCACACGGCGTCGGTCACGATTCTGACATATAGCCAAGTAGAAAACGCGATACTGGGAATACAAATAAATTGATCCTATGCCGTTAGGTACTTAAAACTACCATTAACTTGGAATAAATAAAAGCGCAAACGACAACTTATTTTTAACCCAAAGAAGAGACGAGGGATAATAACAATTTGACCTTATCGCATAATAGGAACTTATCAGCGCGTGTCTATTTCGGGATATTTTTGGCTGAAGATGGAGAACGAAGATTTCCCGCGTCACTTGGGACTTTTTCTGATTACATTATGCTCCATTTTACGCGCTGCTGCAGTCGCTAAGATAACCCGCGAGCGATAAACGTACATAACACAAAGTTTTGAAAGTGTATCCAAATTTAAAACTAATGACTTTTGCGTTCTTCGAAAGAAGCCTTAAAGCCTTATTTATATATTATCCTAAAGGCGCTTTACCGATTGCGTCAGAGCTTAACAATGAATATAATATTGTTTTAATAGTGAATAATGGTTCGCGTGCATTTTAACCGTGAACATTTCAAAATATTAATCAGAACGCGATAGACTGGTAGTTCGTATTGCATAATTGTACTATTTATATTCAGGGCTACAAACTGTCTCATTTAGTATAAAATTTTAAAGTTATTTCTCAAAGACTTATTGTCTAGTCAAGAGTTTCCATAACGTTATTTTTGGGTGACTTACTTATCAAACTACCTTCTAATTTTTAACAAATGTTTCATAATCTTTATTCTTTGTGTTATCTTTTGTCACTGTCATAAGCAAATAACAATTTTCACACTTAATCTTCAATTGGCGACCCTATTTTGTTTATTTCTAACCACCACGTGCGAATTTTGAATGAATGCTACTTGAATTGAGTCACACGCGTTTCTACATTATCACTTTAATTGTCCTGTAATATTATTATTATTGTATTATATGTTTTGCCGTGATTGTTTAAAGCCTAACCATTTATTTCAGACATATATAACTAAAGAACGTGCGAAGCGCCGGTTTTCAGTGAACAACTTAATTATCACAAATTAATTAATGAATTTCACTTACCGATTTATTTAGAATTTAAAGACAAACAAAACTTTTCATATGAAATAGTTTGATTAAGTGTGCGGTGGTCATTACCACGGAGTCACTGACCCGTAGGTGCGTGTTATCGATGTTAGTGTGAAGTGCCCTAATTTAGTGGTGACGCTTATTATATCAGTATTGTGATACTGTGATTGAGGGATATGTTCCTGTTAATCCATGGAGTGTGGATGGAATTGGAGCCGCGTTGGCTGGTGATGCATGCATAACTTCCACACTACTCTGTTTACTTTGAAAAACGAGTGTGCCTTTGAGCATTAAAAGCAAACATCGGACAAACGGCACTTCGTAGTAAACGCAGTTGTCAGTTTTATATTTAACAAAATGTAGATTTGATTAAAGGTAAAAAACAAACGCTTTGTGACTTTACCACCTGGGGAAATATATTAAAATGATCTCTTCTCTGTAGGTGTGTGTTTATCTATGCCTTGCCATATTTTAATTCGCAATACACTAGCACTAAACTTAGTCTTTTATCGATCTTAGTAGAGCATCTCAAAATTGTTAGGTATGCATTCGAAAAGACAACGGGTAGCACTATCTAGACATGGTGAAAAAAAATGGCTTTAAATAGCAAAATGATATTATTTGTAAAGCAATATATTGATAATAATATAATTAAAAATTTATAAATGAATATTTATCATTTATAATACACCGTCTTGCGAATATCTCCAATAACATTAACGTTTAGGTAACTCTACTATTTAGAATGTATTGTAACTTGGGCTCGACGTTACGGGACGCTTTGCAACGGGGCCGCGGGGGGATTGAAGATGGAAGATCTTATGTCAAACGCAAGTCAGTTTAGTCGATATGGGGTCCTTATAAAACTGAAATACGGTGTCCCATCATTTCTTGATATGCCGTTTTTTGGGCTCTGTTGTATGAATGTTTTAAGTATATACCTAGATACTAAAGTACTTTAGTATAACAAAACACCAGTACTACTACTAAGCAGAAGCATATATCAATGATCGTTCGCATGTGGTTCAGCATATACAGCATATGCGACATATAACGTGCGGAGCTGATTGCCGTAATTACTTCCTGATAGCTTATCAGTACCTTATTGGTAATGTTAGAGCGAAGATATATTTGTGTACGCGGGAAGATTAGGCTTAGTGTTATTGGAGTAAGTAAATTGTCTAATGTGGAGTTTGTTTTGTTTGAGTGTATAAAATGCAATTAACCTTTAGTTAATTTGTTTTTAATCGTTGATTGATCGACATTGTACAAACAATGTCGAAAAAGAAATCTTTTTGATATAGCCTTACATATTACTAGTTTTAACGGTTTAAAATAATATATGAACTACGCCATGTCGTTTAAACCAACTCCTCCAATAATGCGCGCCAAGTAAGTATTGCAAAGCTATTGAATTCCACATTTTTTTTTTTAAATAGTAAGTTGGTAAACAAGTCGGCGTCGATTTCCATATACGAGAGGTATGTGGCTATGAACGTAATGGGAGGCAGAGTTGCCCATAAGGGTATCTCTTATGGGTCCAGATCGCATCCTCACGGGGGCGACCTTGTGTTTGATTAAGCCACATAGCTGGTGAGGTCAATGACCTTATACGTGACGTAATTCTCGACTCGATAACTATGAAATGTTTCTCCTCTTTTACGGTCAGTTTTGAATTAAATAATCAACACTATAGTAAGTATACTCGACCGATTCGCCCCGCCCTTCTGCCCCCAACTAAATCTGGTGTTATTTCTTTACTCGCAGAATTAAATAGTTTAACGGTGAGAAATAATAAGTTTAAGTTTTCTTAAGATGACGTCATCAAGTGATTCACGAAGCGGAATGCAAGAGTAGGCTGCTAACTATACGGGTATCTTTTTTAGAATTGATATTCGCACTATTACACGCATTGTGAAACAGTTACGTGGAAACTGACTTTTAATCGTTCATAGGTCGTATCTGGAGCCCCAGAACTTTCGCCTTTTAACCAATGAACAGCGGGGTTGTTACTAGTATATATAAAAGTAATAACAACATTACAAGTTTCTTTCCTTTGAGTAATTACAAATTGAGACAACTACTAAAGTGAGACTGAAAATTCTTTCCCTTGAGACATCAAACAATTAATTAAGAGTAATTGATTTTATTGTTTGAAAATGCCCGTTTTAATAGCTTGATTGCATACTGCAGTCTGTCTCAGACTATAGACTGTGACCGATCAGTTTATCGTATTTCAAAAACAATCGGTGTCCTGCTAGACCGAAAATATTTGTTTTGCTTCCCCGCGTTATGAACGCAGAACCGCGCTTCACGCTATGCTTAATGTTTAACCAATTTGCTATGCAGATGATCTAAGCACAAAAGGCCTTTATAATATAATACATTTTTATTGGGATAATGTGCGTGCTACGTACATGTACATTGGTACCTATTTGCAATTTTGTATAGATGAGGTTGGATAGATATAAGCCTTTTAAGAAATAAAATCTGTACGTTAAGATCTTTTTTTTAATCGACGTCAAACTCTTAATTCTGTGACTTCTCACATACCGCCTTAATAATAATATCTTTCGCGGCCGTTGTATACTGCTCGGAACATCATGTGTGTAAGTTTACAAATTAT